AGGAGGGGTCGCTATGAGTCAGGGCTGACTCGATGGCACATAACAACAACAACAACAACATACATATATACACATATACACACACACACACATACATACACACATGTATGCCAAGCACTTAACCACTAGATCACCATGGTTCTCTACATATATCCTTTATGTGAAATGTTTTGGGAAGAGAGAGAACAAGAAAAGAATACTGATTGCAAATTTGGAGAAGAGGAAGTTTCCACTTATTCAAACATTTACTCAACACTTATTATACAACAGGCACCACTTTAAAGCTTCAAAATAATTTTTCTTTTAAATTATTTATGCTGGTTCCAATTCTTCATTCTTATCTTTGTGGGCAATTATTCTGTAACTTAGAGAGCTATCCTTTAGTTGTTTCATAAATAAGTGAATGGAATGACTCTGCATCATTGGAAATAATTCATCAGCCATGATACTGGGCAAGGAAATGTTTCAACATCAAGTGGATTAAATTTTCTTTCCTTAAAGTGTACTTCCAATTTAGAGTATTCCTTCCCCTGGCCCTTCATGTTGCATAATAATAGTTTTTTAAATAATTCACAGTAAAGATGTAGGTTTTCCAATGTTACTTTGTCTTTATAGATGCTTATACTGCCCGTTGCCACATGTGGGTGTCTCCACCACATAGTTTCATGGATGAAACAGGTAAAAACCTGTATCTTGGTTAAAGATTAAATTAGCCAGTTACTTAACATACAAAAATGACGAGTTGAATCTCTGCATTTATCTGACACAAACACAACAACAGGCGCACAGTAACAGTTATCCACCCCCTTGGTCCAGATGCTTCAAAGCCAAGTGTACTGGTTTTCTACTGTTGCTGTAACAAATTGCCACAAACTCAGAAGACTAGCCTATGCAAATTTTTATCTTCTAGCTCTAGTAGTCAGAGGTCTACAATGGTTCACTCTGGGCTGAAATAAAGGTGTTGGTAGGGTTCCATTCCTTTTTGGAGGCTCTAGGGGAGACTCTGTTTCCTTGCCCTTTCCAGCTTCTTGAAGGTGCCTGCATTCTGGCTTATGACCCCCTACTTCCATCTTCAAAGCCAGCAGTGTTCCATCTGTGTTTTCTTCCATAGTCATATCTTCCTCTGACCGACTCTTCTCTTTTGCTTCTTTTCTCCACATTTAAGGACCCTTGTGATTACACTGGACTCTCTCAAGTAATCTAAGGATAATCTCAGTATTTTAAAGTCAATCTGAATTCACTCTGCAACCTTAGTTCTCCTTCATCATCTGGCCTAATGTATTCACAGGCTCCAGGGATTACAACATGGACATCTTTGATGCTGTCCACTACATCAAGGCAATGTTCCATTTCTACTTACTAACTTGAATTTTCCTGAAGCACCTTAGTTCTCCTATAGTTTTTCAGTACTAGGAAAAGAAATTCTTAGGGAATAAGTAATATAAGATTTCTTGTATCTGCATTTCAGTTTTTAATCATGAGCTCTGATTTAATAGTAGCGTAATTCCTAAGGCACTTGACTACTAACCAAAAGGCTGACAGTTCAAACCCACCAGCCACTCCTCGGAAGGGAGGTTGGGCAATTTACTTCTGTAGTGATACCACCTCGGAAACCCAAGGAGAGGGCGCTATGAGTTGGGTCCGACTCAATGGCACATAACAACAAGTCATACCCAAAAGGAGATATGAATGCCTACTGCCACATAGCCATCTACTCCTGGACACATGCAGCCTGTGATTCCCAATTTACATTTTAGTAAACTGGTGCTATATAGTTGAAGACTTTACAAACTGAATCAGACTATGGCCACTGGGATAATATCCTGACTCTGCAATCCAAGTTGGGTAGAAAGTGGGCAAGAAGGCCTCCACATAGAACTTTTGAGAATCAAAACTTTCTTCCAAAATTACTCCCATGATCTGAGATGATCATTAAAATTTCCCAAGGCACTAGTTAATAAAGTTTATTCCATTTTTAAAACATAAAAGAAAAAAAAATGAAAAGTGAAAAAAACAAATTAGAGTAGCTGAGGAATGTTCCCAAGGACAGACAGGCTGGTTGTTTTCACAGCTGTACAAGGCTTACCTGCTAAAGACTCTAAATCTCTAATAACAAAAAGAATAACTCTTTGCAAGAATGTTTTTGTGAACATATTTTAGACACCCCTTCTCACATGAACTCTTGGTAAATGATTATTTTCAATCAGGAGCTACAGAGAGTAAAATGTTTGAATGATTGGCTGAAGACTATACAAACTGAATCTAAATATGAAAAAAAGTGAAAATTTCAAAATTGAATTTATAGTCTGAATTCCTGAATAGAAAAACTAGATATTTATAGTGATTCATGTTATTCAAAAGTCCAACCATCTAATGTTAATATATAAAGTGTACAACAGCATATCAAACTGCCTCTACTACAGTTTCATGTCACACAAAGGTCAGGAGAAGTATATTGTTTTTCACAAGCCTTGTTTTCTGTTTGTTTTAACACACACCAAGCAATGCCAAGTGAGAAGCAGTCATCTATCTTGGATTAACACTCTCAATTTCTAACCCTCTCACCTGCTGATCCCTCCCTCTGCTACCCCCCTCCAAAAAGCATCAAATAAATGCAAGAGCATCTAATGTCAGGGCATCTCTGAGCACCGTTCCGAGCTCCTGCAGCTGACAGAGTCTCCAGCACTGTTCCAGTTCAGCACTCCTGGGCAGCACCCAAATGGGTCAGCTCTGAGTGAGATCCGAATCCAGAATGGGCTAGGGCAGTGGGACTAAAGGAGTTTTGCTCACTTTGAATCATTCTGACTCATAGCAACACTGTGGCACAGAGGAGAACTGCCCTATAGGGTTTCCAAGGCTGTAAAATTTACGGAAGCAGACTGCCACATGTTTCTTCTGTGGAACAGCTGTAGGGTTTGAACCGCTAACCTTTCAGTGAGCAGCTTAGTGCTTAACTGTTGCATTCCCAAGGTTCCATTTTGCTCACATACCCCTAAAGAACTCTGAAGATCCCTGCTTGTATTTTTAAATTAACATCTAAACATCTTTGCTCTAAGTTTTAACACTTGAAAAAGGGACATCATTCCTGGCACTCCAGATGTTGTGTAACACAACGAACACAACCACTGACGTGGAGTCAGATCTGACTCATAGAGACCCCCTCCCTGGGTTTCCAAGGTGGTATCAATATGGAAGTAGATTACTCAACCTTCCTTTTGAGGAGTGGCTGGTGGGTTTGAACTGCCAGCCTTCTGGTTAGCAGTCAAGTGCCTTAGGCACTATGTCACCAGAGCTCCTAGATGTTGTATATGTGCTTTATATACGTGCTTATCAGAACTTCAGGGCTACAGAATTAGTTCATTCAGTCTACAGAAGATGTCTGCTACATAACTTAACTGGCAAAGCCAATTCTCATTGACATACCAATCAACCCAGTAAGACTTTCTGTCAAAACAAGTCTGATTTGGTTTTTCAGTTAAATATCAAGATATTCTTGGTGACAACCATCTATCTTCTCAATGCTAAAAGGAATAGATAAATACAGCAGAGTCGTGCTATATGCTTGTCAACTGGATGAATGAGAGGAGGAAAGGAGAACTGGCAGACATCAGGCATGTTCAGAGGCAGATCAGTTTCAGAAAGAGTTGGAAGCTGAGGATCTGAAAATTGATACTCTTGAAAGGCTCCCTGCCCTGGGAATTCTTGTGTACCCTAGGGCTGTGCACACAGTTTGAAGACTGCTGGGGAAAAGAATTCAAAGCCACTGCTGAAAATTATCTAAAAGGATGCAAATAGAAAGTGTCATTTCTAATCAAAAAGCCTCTGACGGCATTTCTTTAAGATATTTTAGACCTCAGAAATAACTTAAAATAGGTATCAAGTTCTCATCATGGAGAGTTAATGGAATACTAACAATGAGAGATTATTATTTCACTTGTGGTGCCAACCTTGTGTATTATCTTGGAGAGACAGTTCTGGCATCCCAGGACTTGGGTCTACTTTTCTCTAGATGAGTTGTTAGAACCAGTTGCTTTTGTTTTATCTGTCTGCACCTATCTGAATGTGGGTGGTTCCAACCCACCAGCTGCTGGGGGGGGGGGATGAAGCAGAGGAGGAAACCCTGTGGGGCAATTCTTTTCTCTTATAGGATCCCTACGAGTTAGGACTGGCTGGATGGCAGTGAGTTTGGTTTCGTTTGGCCCATACTTGATCATCTTTAGTGCGTTTCTGACCCAGTCTAAATTAGTCACTTATCATTCTGAAGTTCTGGCATTCACCCTATGTCATCTTTGAACCTTAGACCCATCTTCTGATTCTCTCTGAGGGCCCTTACAGTGTCAGAGTAGATAAGCTTTAAAACAAATCAAAGCAAAAGAACCTGCCATTGTCAAGACTGTAATTTTGGGCTAATAGAGGAGCTGCTTATGCAAACGATTGCAAACTTTTACATGGAAAGAGAGGGAAGAGTGCACAGTCACACTGGAAATGCAATTTGAAAGTGACTCTCTTTTAATGTTTCTCTCCCGTAGGAGTGGTTTGATCCCTTCAGGCTGAAACTCCAAGTACACGGACAATACCCAGTGTCCTGCAGTTGCAGCAGCTTCATCCCACGGTGGGTACCCTGGATAGCACCTTGGGGTGGAGTGGGGGGGGGGGCGCGAGGTTCCAAGGCCACTCATCATCAAGGTCGTCTGATCCTTTTGTTAGTTGAGAATCTTCCCGCAACTTAGAGCAGGTCTGTGTTCCCTTCCAAATAACCCACCACCTGGCTGCGCCCCGCCTCTGCTTGTCTCCCACCTACTAGGTAATGTTGGGTGTTCAGAAGATGATGTTCAGGCGGCAGCCAGGCCTTTATGCGCAATCACTGGGCTAGAGGTGTTGACAGGAGTGGATGCTGAAGGAGCGTGTAAGTGCGCACGTGCAAGCACGCACACCCCACGAACACACACAGGCGCCGAGGGTGTGAGGGTGTGCAGGGGGAGGGGAAGGGACGGCCTTACCAGATCAATGAAAGTCAGGAATTTCCAGCTCCCTCCGTAGGTCTGATGTGAGGGCATTTCGATGGCCTTGTAGTTGCACAAGATAGAGCAATAGGACAGCAGGATAGCCACCCGCAGCACCTGGCAGGGGACAAGCGCCATGTTCGCGGAAGGCCGAGGCTGGCTCCGCGGCTAGGAGGGAGCGCCAGCAAACGGCGCGCTGGCGGGCCGCGGGGACAGCCTGGCGCGGGAGGACGCAGGGCGGGGGCTGCGGCGGGGCGCGCGCCCGGCGGCACTGGAGCTTTCGCGAGCTCCCGGCGACCTGCGCGGGCGGGGCAGGGGTTTGTGGGTGCTCCGGAGGCCGCAGCAGGGAGGCGGCGTGGCGTCACCTCTGTCGTCATCTTCGTCATTCTGTTCCTGCGTTCCTGAGCCTCGGGAGACCTGGCCAGACGCGCCCCCTAGGCGTCCCAGGAATGGTTGGGCGGCTTTGGAGGGCTCCGTGGCTCCGGAGTCTGCGTGGAACGCCCGGGAGGGAGCGAGACGGTGGCCTGGGGGCGAGAGGGCGCGAGGCTTGAGGACTGGAAACCTGGGCTGAAGGAGGGCACTCAACATCGACAAACCTTCCAGCCCAAGGGAATAGGGGCAAAGATCTCTATTGGTAGCTGCTGTTGGCCAAGTCTGGTGTCCGTGGGAGAGGGACCTGGTGGGCTTGTGAACGTGGAGTGTAAAGTCGCACAAGGATAGCCTTCCACTGACTTGCGTTAGTTTGGACCCAGTGGGCTTTCGGTGTTGTCTGACGATTGTTAATTACTATGAAACTCATAAATGCTACTCTCTCTGGGTTGGCTACCCTCCCCTTCTTGACAGTGTAGACATACACTGTGAACTTTGGGCAAGAGCTCTATACATGAAAAGTTATAAAGAAAGGGATTCAGATAGCTGTTTCTATTGCAAGATTGCATTCACCTTAAAAACGGGTCATTGTGAGTGTGAATGCAAAACCCAGTGTGTATAATTCAATGCTCATCTCTTTGAGGGTTAAATTGTTTTTGCCCTTTCACTTATTTATTCTTTTTTTCTACACAATAGTATCAGGGCTCAGTGGAAGGAAAACATAAACTGATTCCCTCTGCCTTCCAGGAAGTGTTGTCACACTAAAATTGCATCAGTCTGTGGGCAGCGTTTTGGGTTTGTTTTTTTTTTTTTGAATCATGATCACATTTCAGACAACCAGATGCAAGGTCAGATTGTGGAAAGACAACATAGGTATTTCCTGTGGATCATTTAAAACAGGTGTCATCTCCAAATAGTCTCTGAGTCAGAGGATGTGGAGTGTGAAGTGGCAAGGAAAACATAGTTTTCAAGGTAAAGAGAAAGCAGCAAATGAAGAATATCACCAAGGAACATAATGCTGAGTGAAATAAGTCACTCACAGAAGGACAAATACTGTATTAGTTCATTATTGTAAAAAGTCAGGGAAAGGCTTATATATGGAAGGAAACTTTCTTTGTTGGTTACCAGGGGTGGGAGGGGAAGGGAGATAAAAATGAAAAAAATCACCAAGGAAAAGGAAAACACAGGTGCACAAGAGGTACAGACAGAATTGGTAAATGCTATTAAATACACAATACTGCATTATCAGTAATAACAAAACTAGTCTATGGGTGGATATGTAAGTAGACAGGCGAGAAGATCAGGTGTGGGTAGGCAAACTGGGAATACACCCATGACCGTACATAGGTTTGGCAGATGATATTCCTGCATATGTATTTGTATGTGCTATAAAAATGTCCATATACATTATAGAACTAACAAAGTTAGGATAACATCTTAGCCATAACCAAGCACCCTGAGGGAGTCACTGGGCCTGTGGGCTCAGAACCATGGTCACAGGGAACATCAAGCTCAATTGAAATAACATAGTACAACAAAAATATTGTTCTACATCCTACTTTGGTGAGTAGTGACTGAGGTCTTAAAAGCATGCCAGCAGCCATTTAAAATACAACTTGTCTTAAATGTCTCTCCTTGTCTGGAACAAAGGGGAGTGAAGAAAATCAAAGACATGTGGAAACAATTAGTCCAAGGAATTAATGGACCACAGGAACCTCAGCTTACATGACCCTGAGACTAAAAGAAGTAAATGGTGCCTGGCTACCAATGCCAACCATTTGCAAAGGGATCAAAATTGGAGATCCTAGATAGAGTAGGAGAAAAATGTGGAACAAAATTCAAAAACATAGAAAAGACCAGATTAAAAGTCAGACGGAGACTGGTGAAACCCCAGAGACAATGGCCTCGAGTTATCCTTCGGGCCTGGATTGGACTCACTCTTGTGACTCAATTCTCAGCCAGACAATAGGCAGTCCTACTGGCTAAACAATGCACTCCTTAGAAGAGTCGAGCATAGGAGATCAGAAGGGAAGCATTTGCGCAGGGAGAAAGCCAGGCAGGCAGGAATGTATGGGTAAGGACACGGAGAAGGGATAACTGCAGGGAGCATGTAGGAGAAGAGTTGTTGCATTGGGATTGTAATCAGTGTTGCAAAACAAAATGTGAATGAATTGTTGGATGTTAAACGAAACTACCTTGTAAAATTACAGTCAAATCAAAATAAAAAGTTGGAGGGAAAAAAAAAAAGAATGCTTTCCTGAAATTTTCCAATCAAGCTCTAAACAAAAGTAAATAAACCCTCCAGATTTTTTATAATTGTACTAATAGACCTGATGTCACAGTAAAATGACTCCAAGAAGATTCTACTAGTATAGAAACTCTTCATTATTGAATATTTGTATCTTCATATAAAAGTTGGGTCTATATTTTTAAAATTGTTTGTCCATGCTACATGTTGATAAAATGAAAAAAAAAAAAAGTAGGTTACTGAAGATCTGTCTTAAGTCTTTAGTACAGTTTTATGAGTTTAATATGATATTCTTCAATTTTGGCATACCCTTCTTAGTTTGAGTTCTCTGGAGAAGTAAAATCAGTGTGGCATGTATGTAAATATATAGAGATTTAATTCAAGGAAATGGCTCACACAGTTAGGGGTTGACAAGTCCCAAATCCATGGGTCAGGCAGCAGGCTGAGGGCTTCTGCTGGTTCACAGGACTGCAGGGGCTGATGAACCCACAATCTACAGATCAGGTGGCAGGCTACAGACTTCTGTAGGCTTATGTCCTAAGATCTGGAAGTTAAGGGCCCAGAAAAGCACAGGGTCAAGAGAGAGAGGCAGACCACACCCCCAAAAAAACTCCTCTTTCAAATGATTGTCTGATCACATCAGATCATATCACGGAGATGATTACATTCTATCCCATTGTTTGAGAGGAATCAGTCTGCCAAACCACTGAAAATCAGCCAAGCCACACTCACACCTAGCACTAATCATCACACTTCCTACCTTACGTTTTACAAAATTAGTAAACAGAGTCTCTGTCTCCATCATTACAAAATACAAAATCCTTTCATAAGGCCATTTAATTTTTTTTTTCCTATGGTCATTTTCTTTTATATAAATAACTAGAAAACTCCAATAAATAGATGTTTTGAAACTGTCCTAACAGATTTTCTTTTGTTATCTGTAATTTGCTAGTCATGATGAGATAGTTTTGCATTTTATAAAAAATGAACATTTGCATAAATATTGACTCACCTATTATTTTATGAGAATGTCAGTCCACAGTTATTTTATTGCTTTTAACTATTTATTTGCATGTCTTGTTGCTCTCTTTGCTTTTTAGACTACATTTAACCATCTTAGTAAGGTTCTAAAGACATTCTTTGTGGAAAAAAATATGAGTCTACACACAAATTGTGTTTTCACACTGCAATTAATGTTGTTGTTATTGTTATGTGCCATCGAGTCAGCCCTGACTCATAGCGACCCCTCCTTGGGTTTCCGAGGCAGTATTACTATGGAAGTAGGGTTGCCCAACCTTCCTTCCGAGGAGTGGCTGGTGGGTTTGAACTGCCAGCCTTCTGGTTAGCAGGCAAGTGTCTTAGCCACTATGCTACCAGAGCAATTAATGTAGTATAATGGATATCACAGTTTTTTTTCTTTTTCTTTCTTTTTTTTTTTTTTTTTTTGGTAACATGGCTCTATTTAATGTCATTTAACTTTTTAAATACATACATCTAGCATATTGTTTTAAAAACTTCACTCAGTGGAAGGTGGTCCCTTTTTATGAACTATAGTACATTATTCACTGATAATATTCATTTGATTATTCTATATTTGAGTAAGTAAATACTGGGTTTCATTGTATTAACAAAAATCTGCTTGTCACTTTTTAGCTTTTCTATACTTCTGCACCATAAGTAGGGACAGTGGGGAAAAGCCTTACTCAGATGAGTTTCATGAAAACCAGGAAAGTGCATGTATAAGAAAAACCTAGGGAAGATTTCAAGACACTTTTTTAGCTTCTAGTTACATTAGTGCTCATTGATTTTTGTAACTTGTCTACTCCTAGACTGTGTGTGTGTGTGTGTGTGTGTGTGTGTGAGTCTGGGCTGAAGATACTCTTCTTTATGTCCTTCTAAAAACTGATACAGGGTATTCATTTCTTTTTTTCTTTCTTTTTCTTTTTTGGAGAGAGAGGGAATCTGTCATATTAGTGATGATCATTTTGGGAAGTGTATGAACCACTGTGTCTCCCTTATGTTGTATTCCAAGCAGCCAACTCCGTATACCCATGGGTCTTTGCTTAAATGTTCAGGAGGAAGAGCTGTAGGTATGCATACCCTTGCAGTGCTCAATATTTACACATTCCCTATGATTTTGTGTTTATATTAGGTAAGCAATTTCTAATAATATCAATGTATTTGGACAAATCATTTCCCCCCTTCATGTTTATCTGCAGGACAAGGAGGTGTGAAAGATTAGCCAGAGTGAAAGCTGGGGTGTGTCCCACTGAGATGCTTAAAAAAAAAAAACCTCACTGCTGTTGAATGGATTCGACTCATAGTGACCCCTCCTTGGGTTTCTGAGGCGGTGTCTGTGCGGAAGTAGATTGCCCCATCTTCCTTCCGAGGAGTGGCTGGTGGGTTTGAACTGCCAGCCTTCTAGATGGCAGTCAAATGCCTTAGGCACCACACCACCAGAGCTCCCACTAGTATGGGGAAAATATCCTCAGAATTGCAGAAAAGATACCTTTAAGTTGTTTGCTTTTTCTTCAATATA